ATTTTGTCATCTGATGTGATTTTCCTATGTGTTGTAAATCCTACCTCTATGATGTTAATGAGGCAAGATTAGTGGCAGTTATGTTAATGAAGCAGGACTCAATCTACAAGATTAGGTTGCATCTTAAGCCAATCTCTTTCAAGATATAAAAGAGAGAAGCGAGCGGAGAGATAGAGGGACCTCATACCACCAAGAAATAAGAGCCAGGAGAATAGCGCACCCTTTGAACCTGGGGTCCCTGCACTGAGACACTCCTAGACCAGAGAAGACTGATGAAAAGGACCTTCTTCCAAAGACCACAGAGAGAGAAAGCCTTCCCCTGGAGCTGGCACCCTGAATTCGGATTTCCAGGCTCCTAGACTGTGAGAGAATAAATTTTTTGTTAAAGCCATCCATTTGTGGTATTTCTGTTATAGCAGCACTAGATAACTAAGACGTACAGAAAAGTGACCTCTAGCAGGGGACCTGCCAACACTCATGCTGGAATGTTAACTGGGAAGAACCCATTTTACAGATGAAAACACTAACGAGGAACAGGGGGATAAGCTGACCCACAGACAAGAGTAACCGCACAGGTTAACGGCTGGAGGGCAGGGGAGGGAGCGGGACCAAAAGTCATCGCAGTGGCTATCAAATACAAGAAAACCTCAAGCTATTACAGTATAGTTATGACGCCTTTTTTCTTAGTCAATTTTAGATATAACAGGTGCATCCCTATCACTGAGGGCCTGTTCTAAGCACTGGGAAAGCAGAGTAAACAAACTTCCCTGCCCTCACTGTGCTTCCATTGTAGTGAGGGGACAGAAAATAGGTGAAACAAGTAAAATCTGTACTACGATCTGTTGTTGTTGTTAGTTGCACTTGAGTTGATTCCGACTCATGGCGGCCTCGTGCGTACAGAGCAGAACTGCTCCATAGGGTTTTCAAGGCGGTGACCTTTCAGAAGCAGATCACCAGGCCCGTCTTCCAAGGTGCCTCTGGGCGGGTTTGAACCACCAACGTTTCAGCCAGTAATGGAGTGCTTAACCATTTACGCCACCCAGGGACTCCTTGTACTATGACAGATGAGGATAAACGATAAGTATAAAAATATATTAGGAAGCACAACAGAAATACTGGGGTAGAAATGGGGAGTTGGAAGTTTACATGACAGGTTCAGCGAAGACCTTCTCAAGAAGATGACATCTGAGCAAAGACCTGAAGGCAGAAAGTGAGAGATGGGGGCAGGGCTGCCAGATGAAATACAGGATTAAAAAAAAAAAAAACAAACCCGTTGCTGTCAAGTCGATTCTGACTCATAGCGACCCTACAGGACAGAACAGAACTGCCCCATAGGGTTTCCAAGGAGCAGCTGGTGGGTTCGAATTGCTGACCCTTTGGTTAGCAGCCAAGCTCTTAACCACTGTGCCATGAGGGCCCAAAATAAGGATACTCAGTTGAATATGAATTTCAGATAAACAATGAACTTTTTTTTAGTATGAACATGTACTAAACACTGCAGATCGTTTGCTAAAACCAACAACCCTATGAGAAGGTGCCTGGGGAAGTGCACGCTAGGCCGAAGGAGCGGCCAGGGCAGGGCCAGCCAGTATGGCGGGAGGGCGTGAAGGAAGAGGGCATATGGAGAGAGAGGAGTCACAGAGGCAACAGGGTCAGATGACAGAAGCCCTTGGACCTCGTAAAGTTGTGGGCTTTTACTGTGAGGAGGATAACAAACGTGAAAAATTCTGAGATGTGTGACACTATCTGACTTAGGTTTAAAGGATCACTCTGGATACTGTATTGAGAAGCAGGGGCAAGTGCAGGGAGACCAGTTAGGAGGTCATCAGTGCTATAATGATAATACTAATTGTAATAGACACCTATACATATGCACCAAAATGTGCATACAATTTTGGGGGGAATGACCCTTGAAACCTCATTCATGAACTCCCCTTTAAAAACCCTGGTTATATCATTTATTGGAGGAAAGGAATCAGCCCCTCCAAAGAAATTCTATCTACTCACTAAAAATGTCAATCTAAGGCATTTGCTTCTACCACTGCATTATCATCCATAAAAATCTTCATCAAAAGAAGACGCTTCTGCAGAACACTGAACTGTCGACACTCGCAGGGACTATGACAACATCAGGCCAAGGACTCCCGGAAACCATCCTTCCTAAACCCGACCGCATGTGGCTGCTGACTGTGTTCTACAACGACGGTTTATCAATGGGGCTAAGACTTGACTTCAAGGTCAACATCTCTGTATAAAAGGAGAGGGCCTCAGAAGAACACATGTACGTGAGGTAATTCTGCTTTTATAAAGCCATGGAGATGCAAAATCTACTATGATTGTGAAAATAAGCAATAAATACTTCATTAACCAATAAACACACAATGACAGTGTTCATATAAAATAAAACTAGTTTGTCTTCCTTTGGAAGAATCAGTAGGCTAACTTAACTTCTCTTCCCCAGATGAAACTGTTGACATCGGATCATTTCTTTGACCTACAAAAAAAGTAATTTCATGTTCAACCTCATGAAAAAATATAGAGAATACTCTTACAGTCATTTGCCTCTCAGAAAATAAATTATATATCTCCTCTGAAAAGGGAGAAGAAAAAATTATTTTAATTATCACAGTAATGTAATCCCCTGGAACCACGCCAGACACAGATTAGAGTCTCCGTAGACCTCTGACATTCCCCGCCCCCAAGCTCTGTATCGTGTGGACGCGAAGTTTTGGGTGTTCCCTCAGCATCTCAGCACTCTCTCACAGAAAGAATTCCTGTGAACCCAGATCTTGGTATTTAGGGCCCAAGGACATAAATATACTATAAAATGAAAATACTGTAAAATAAGCCTACTCTTACAAAACTCCAACTATATGGAGAAAAACCGTATACATATATTTTACAGGCACACTCTACTTCGCTGAGACACGGCCGCCGAGTCTGGTGAAACGTGCTGTTCAGCCACTGTGAAATCTGATCCTGCGAGAAAGCTGCTTCTCTCAGGCACCCTACCTCACACAGCAAGAGCACTGTTAAGTTAGGGGACGGGCTTCTCAGAGCCCCAGAACGCCTTCACCTGAGGAATACCCCAGTATTGACCACCCGGGACGTGAACTAGCCAGTGTGCGGCCGCAAACAACCATTTCTCAGAGAACACTCTTGCTGTCTGTTTACAACGACGACGCTTTCGACGTTGCCTCCACAGCCCAACCCGCAGGAAGGGGTTAGTAACACTCTGGAATTCATTTTTTGAAATGGTCTAAGGGTGTAATTCTTAACTCCAGTTACCAAATTAGCACACAGGTCAATATGCATTATTAAAATTTTTCCATTTGGTTTCTTTTATGGTATTCTTTTATGGAAAATAATTCTGATTTACCTCACCATTTAAAACAATTCATTAGGAAAAATAAGTTCAGAAAGATACACAGACAAGCAACTTCAAATGTCAAGCGCATACTGGCTGGTATTTGAGAATTTCTAAGATCATCAATTATTGCTTTCATTTACATAATTTCCTTAAAGGCAACGCTAAAAGCTGGATGTGAAGCAGCTCATATGTGATGCAATGGGTAAAAACCGTTTTCCAATGTTATCTATGTGAAATTCTGACCCGATTTTTCTCCTTTGAATCCCCTGAATTCAATTACAGTTCAAAACAGTTCCTCTTATCTATACAGGCAGACAGAATGTGCAAAAACCAGATCACCTCTGTGGATTCTGCAAATGCTTTAAAGTCCAACAAAGCAGTGTTTTCTGCTCCATTACTCTCCAGAAAACCTAATTACAATTCAAATACTGTCTGCGTGGAAGGCCAGGAGCGGAGGATGGCAAAATCCCTCGGAAATCTGGAGAGAGGCAACCTGCTGCTTTGCAAGGGGAAGGCCTTCCTCCGCAAGGATGCCGGCCTCAAAACCAGGTTTTAAATCTTACCTGATATGAGCAGTTGTCCTGATGCACCATCTCAGTGCATCCTAGGGCACAGACCCCCAAGCAGGACAGTCACCGAGGCTGCAGAGGGGAGGCACAGGGCATCCACAGGCGCAGAGAACGCCCTGGTAAGGGAGGGCTCCGGCAGAGTAAAATGGATGCTGTTTCCTGATCAACCTGCGCAGTGGCACAGCCTGTGCCGGGAGAGCGCAGCCCAGCCAACTGCTCTCCTCGGAAACCAGCAGTGAGGCTGGCTAACAGGGAGCCGGGAGCGGGCTGGGGGAGGGGGCGCGCTCATCCCTGGCACAATCAGCCAATTATATTATAGGCACAAAGAAGAGGATCAGTCTGGGGCTGGTGTGACCTTCTGGTGCTTCATGAAGGCAGTTAACTGATGTGGAAACGTTCTAGTCCTCATTAAAGGGAAAAAGGCCAGTGAGAGAGAGAGAGAGACAGGCAGGAATCAAGGTTGCAGCTGAACATTTCTAACCTCAGGCATCATCCCTCCTGCCCACAAATGCCGCTTAGTTGGTGCTTTAAAAAAAAAAAAAAAAAAAGAAAAGCCTTAAAGATCATTTTGAAACTTTTAACATGGTAAAGGGAAAACAATCCATTCTGAATATTAACACTGAAAGGATGCTTTCTGGGTAGAAAGGATGATTTTGAAGTCTTTGTCAACTTTATAGCTGAAAGGAGGGCTTTCCTTCTTAAAAGAAACATTATTTTGTAACTTTTTAGAATCCCCACTTATATTTTGGCTCTTACCCTTTTTAAGTCAAAGAGAAAATAGGATGGGATAATTATTCCTGTAATTATTTTTTTAGAGAGAGCTTATTAAAGTATTAAAGTCAATATAATGCACTCATTTCATGAAAATCAAACTCCTATTGAAAGTACAGATTTGTACCTATATTGCCCAATGCTCTGACTTGAACATACAGACACCCCCATCCCATCACCCCAATAAAGAACATCTAGTAAACCAGCTGCCCAGGAGATTCTGACACATCCTGACCCCATGTGTGTCAGAGTAGAACTGGGCTCCTTAGGGTTTTCAGTGGTTGGTATTTTTGAAGTAGATCCCCAGGCCCTTCTTCTGAGGCACCTCTGGGGGGACTTGAACCGCCAACCTTTCTGTTAGCAGACGAGTGTATTAACTGCTCGCTCCACCCATGGACTCCAGTATAGCACATGTGGCCCTTGCAACAGACCATCTGTCAGAGAGACAGTGATGGAAGAACTCCAGACTGCAGACAACAGTCTAAGGAAACACACGCCTGACCCTGCATGTTTCTGGGAAAAAACGGGCCAACTTCTCAAACGCTTCAGGGCCCCTCTAGGCCCTTAGGATACATAAAAAGGAACAACTAGGCCTCAACGTTTTTGGTGCTAATTTAATAACAGAAAATTAAAATAACAACAACACTAAAATGTCCTTACCCATACTCCTCAGTTGCCACGGACAATTTGTCTTGTTCCTTAATAAAACAGCCCTGAACATATAAAGGGTACTCAATAAAATCTTGACTGAATTTATACCACTAAATTTTTAAAACTCTAGTTATATTATTTTTAAGCCATATATATATACACACACACATACATATATATGCACATATACACACATATACACACATACATACATATACATATATACACATACATACAGACACATTTATACACATATACACCTATATACATACACATACACACGCACACACGTACACATACATACGCACGTACACACACACATACATGCGTATACCCATGTGCACACACACATACACACACACATCCATCCATACATACTTATACACATATATACACCCATACATATATACACATACACATACATATACACACATACATATATATATCTATATATTCAAAACCCCTTCATCTTACTGACAAATAACCACACAATCTTCATCATGCTACTTCTAGATAAAAACAAGTACTTTTCGCCTGAGGAATGAAATTGATGTGTTTGACCAGTTTTCATATCAAGTACCATCTTAAGAAATGGTGATAGTCTGCGATGGCAATATTTGGTAATGCATTTTTAATTTTATTACAGCTTTTCTGTTTCTTGGAAAGAAAAAAAAAAACCTCTATTTTTTTACAAATACTCTTAATTTTACCCATTTTAAAGGCTCAAGCAGGAAGAACGTTTGCTCCCTGAGTTCAAGTCCATCGACACATATGGCTTCAGGCTTCCTAGTGAGAGGCCTGAGGAGGTGGCAGGGAGGCCCAGCCCCGGTGGCCTCACAAGCTTGCACTTCAGCACCCGTTCCGTGGGAAGTACTCTGGAGAAGCACCCTGCAAAAGCTCACGGCCCTTTCCCCTTGGGTACAGGAAAGAGGCTGGCCAGGTAACGTGTAGGGTTTTCTAGGCCTGCCAGCTGGCAGAGACGGGGGAGTCAATCAAGGTTTGATTAACGACGCTGTAGGCTAACGTAGGTAACCAGTCCTCTTAAATGAATGTTGTTGTTGTTAGGTGCCGACAAGTTGGTTTTCGACTCACAGTGACCCCACGTGACAGAGCAGAACTGCCTCAAAGGGTTTCCCAGGCTGTAATATTTAATGGAAGCAAACTGCCAGGTCTTTTCTGCTGCAGAGTGGCTGGTAGGCTCAAACCGCCAACCTTTCAGTTAGTTAGCTGAGTTCTTAACCACTGTACCACCAGGGTCCTCTTAAATGAACACAGGATGGAGGAAAGAAGGTATATACTTTTCAGAGAGCGGGCACAATATGCAACAGCCCCCCCGCCCCCATCCTTCCCTTACTGAGTAATCCACACAGGGCAGCAGACGTAGAGGAAGGCCCTGGAATCCTAAGTATGCTCACGGGAAGGAAGGAACAGAAACCAAATCCACTGCCTTCGAGCTGATTCCGACTCACAGCGACCCTACAGGACAGAGTAGAACTGCCCCATAGGATTTCCAAGGAGCGGCTGGGGGATTCGAACTGCCGACCTTTTGGTTAGCAGCCAAGCTCTTAACCACTGCACCACCAGGGCTCCCCAGGGAAATGGAGCCCCGGTGGTGCAGCTGTAGAAGTTCCTTTTCCAGGGTAGCAAATAAGATGGAATAGGGATCTTTTACCTAATGTAGAAGGCACGATCCCAAGTTTCCGAGACAGCTGCAACTTCAAAGGCTGTTCAAACTTTGCTCAAGTTACTGCCTTGACAATCTAGGACCTTAAGACTCAGGAACACGCTTCCAAGTTGTACAAAGCCTAAGAAGGCGCTTCCTGGCCTCTGTTCTCTTCTGAAAACTGAAGGCTCTGGGGTATGTTACATAAGCTCCTGAAGACATTTATCATGGGCTGTTAAAAAAAAAAAAAAGGCCTAAACATGATCCCACTCTTCACAGTTGCTGTTCCATAAATAGTGGAAGTGACTCAGTGGTGGCTCTGGGGAAAACCTATTTCTGACAATTGTACCCAAATCCTGTCAAACAAAAAAACCTCCCGAGATGTATAAACAAGATAAAGAAGGGAATATATGCAGCAGGCTTCCGTTTACAGTCATTCATCAGAAAGGTCTTTGTGCTGTAAGTTAAACTATGATTTGTTAGTCCAAAAAACTTTAAACACAAACTAGCTGTTCCAAGAACGTTTAAGCCCGAGTGATTTACCAAACTACAGGAACGTTTGTTATTTTCGACTAAAAAATATTGACGGACTTCTTATTTTAAGCATAGTTCATGTAGCACAGAAGTTCTTTTCTTCTTTTTATGTCTTCATAACTTCCCTCCCCATAAAAAGTACTGGGTTTTGGATTCAGATGGGATCTCAAGAGAGCATTTAATCCAACACCGTTATTATCCATATATGGAAAATGAGCCTAAGAAAGCTGTGACATGCCCAAGCACATAAATCCTGACTTCAAAACAAGCATCAGAGGAAGCAAAAGACACGACTTTCTGGGTTCATGCCAAGTGACTGTGTTCCACAAAACCAGTGCTGATCAGGACCCACTCGGCTTGCAGAAGTAAAACCTCCTCTGCCCGGGTCAATGTGGTCTGGCCTGTGAGTCAAGATCAAAAGTAAGAGGGTGGCTAGAGTGTGGTCCTACTAAGATCTGAATCGACAGTATGTTTTAAAGGGGAAAAAAAAAGAGTATTTTCTGATTAAGATGTTGTTCCTATTTCTGCCACCATGCAAGTTACCGGGTCTTTAATCTAGAAAGCACTTTTTCAGTTGCGGCAATCAGTAGCTGGAGAATGAGGTTTTTCTACTGGACAGTAAATACAGTGGTCAAAAGTCACGTCTGCAGGTCACCTGAGTGTTCAGTTTCCAAAGTGAATTACTGGGGTGTGGGACTGACCTGGAAGAGGCACAGGGAGCTTTCTGGTGCAATGATAATCTTCTATGACTTCACAGGGGTTTAGCATATGCAGGTGTATACAGTAGTCAACACTTATCAAGTGGTATACTTAAGATCTGTGTATTTCACTGTATGTAAAATTTACCTCAAGGAAATAAAAAATAAAAAAGATCCACCAAACAAATTTTGAACTTCAGTTAATGATTTATTAATTCATCTATCAGTCTGTTGTACTGTGATGGCTTGTGGGTTGCTGTGATGCTGGAAGCTATGCCACTGGTATTTCAAATACCAGCAGGGTCACTCATGGTGGACAGGTCTCAGTGAAGCTTCCAGACTAAGACAGACTAGGAAGAAGGACCTGGCAGTCTACTTCTGAACAAACTGACCAGTGAAAACCTTATGAATGATGTGTAGGCTGAAGTATTTAGAGGGAAGTGTAGTGATGTCTGGAAACCCTAGTGGCGCAGTGGTTAAGAGCTACAGCTGCTAACCAAAAGGTCGGCAGTTCAGATCCACCAGGTGCTCCTTGGAAACTGTATGGGGCAGTTCTACTCTGTCCTATAGGGTCTCTATGAGTCGGAATCAACTCGATGGCAACAGATTTGTTTTTTTTGTACTGATGTTTGCAGCTTACTTAGGAATGCACCAAATAAATAAGATGGATTGATGAATGGATAGAAGGATAGATCAATGGATAGCTATGACAAAAAAAAGTTTATCGAAATGATAATTGTCAAATCTAGGTGAAATATACATAGGCATTCAAAGAATAAATTTTCAGTTTGAAAATGTTCATAATGAAATGTTGAAAAAAAATGAAGTACTGGGGGTGGAAACGATAAACAGGGAAGTCGCTTTCTTAAGCAATAACTTTTAAGCCTTTTCTCAGGGAATTGAGGGAAGCAGCAGACATTCTAAATAGCTTTAAGTTGTGCTTCTTTAAAGCAAAACGAGCAAAAAAGAACTGTGAGGAAAATTACTCCTGGTCCATGTCAGGGAAGGGAGC